CTTCACTGTTTTAAACAGTGCTGATATGCACCAGAAATCAACACAACATTGGTAACTGACTATATTTCAATAAAAAAAATTATTCAGGAGCAAGAATCACCACTTTGAACAAAATGCATTTTTCTTGGATTCTATGAGATTTGAGTTATTTGAAGCAGGCATAAAGATTTTTATAGGTCAATTATAACAAAAATTAATTGACTCAGAGCTCCCATGAGTGACTGAAAGATCACCTCTAGCGGGCTATGTGGCAAAGGCTACTGATTTTTAATTCAGTGGCTTTGAAAGGTGCAGGGCCCTCTGTAGGAAGACTGATGCTTTCCTGCTTCAACAGGGAGGAGCCTGGATGGGGGTAAAGGTGCTTCAGTTCTGGAGTCAACTCCAAATCAAATCCTGCCTCTGTCAGTTATTAAACATGCAATCTTGAGAAAGATGCTTTTCACCTCTGGACCGTAGCTTCACCGCTTGACAGACAGGCACATCAACACTGACCTTACAGAGTTATTGTACAAAGAGCCTGACAGTGCTTGGTGTTTTCCTTTCCTTCTAGAATACCTGTTTCCTGGAAATCAGTAGGATGTAATTTAACAAGATGCTGGGTAGGGCTAAAACTTCAGTCACATAAGAAACACCTGAGCATCTGGTGAGAGTGTGGATTCTTTCAGTTCATCTGGGTGGAGCTTGAGATGCTGCATGTCTAACTAGCCCCTGGGTAATGTTGATGCTGCTGGTACCCAGACCACACTTTGAGTGGCAAGGGGTTTTATCAGCCAATCAAGCAATCATTCAATTAAAGTACTTATTGACTATCTATTTTAGGGGACTCTCAATGTCCAGCTTAAGGATTTCAAATTCTGAATATTCATGGTGTTCCTTGACATTCAGTTTCTTCTTGCTCTCTAGAGCTAGTCTGCTTTCAAGGGGAAATTAGTTGACAAAACTAGATGGAGAGAATTTAAAAACACAATGGATTCTAGAGAGGCCAGCTCTTAAGTGGATCCCACAGATGGAAATCAAGCATTGAAAAGAATCTTGATAAAGGGTGAGCTCCAGAAAGATAAGTAATTCTCTGAAGCTCCCCAAGCCAAGAAAAATGTTCCTCCCTTGGACAAATTTAATTAACTGTTTTATAGGTAAGTCACATTTGGCTTATTCTTAGGTCTTCTCAGTACATTTGTTGCTACAATTTGAGATGATCTATACGATCACAACGTGGTTGTGCCCTATGGCTGTACCAACAGGAATCTGCCAGCTGAAATGTTGGTGATAAGTGCTCAGTGTCTCCCCTCAGATCCTTTACTTTTTAAGTGGTCCACTGCAGACTCAGAGCTGTAGGCAGTCACAACTGAAACACTGCTTCATTTTAGTGGAGACCCAGGAGCATCTTCTATCCCTCACAGGGGTTCCAAACACTTTCTTGCTAGCTTGCTTTCCCCCTGTTGTTGCTCTTCTGGATTTACTTTTGATTTGGATGCCATTTCAGTGACATCAGCTAATATCCAATGCCTCTCCTTAATGACAATCCTCTCAATTCTTTGGCATTTTATTTACCAGCAAGAGCAAATTTAAAGTTTCCCAAATGTAATGTGATTTTTATGTCTGTTCCTTTCAACCTCGTTTTTCCAAGTATGGTCTGTGAACTAAAGCACTGGAGTCACCTGGGAGCTCATCAGAATGCAGAGTTTTACGTTCTTCCCTATTGGGTCAGGATCTGCATTTTAATAACATCCATGGGTAATATGTGTTATTAAAATAGAGAAGCACTGTCTTAGCACATACTCTTTTATCTACTTTCAATGCCCTTTTCTTCCCACTTGCCTTCTGGTAAACTCCTATGCATCTCTCAAAACTCATTTGGACATCACTGTATATTGAAAATCTTTCTTGACTCTCCCTGATGGAGACATCAGGTATTCTTCTAGGCTACTTATATACTTCTTTCTAATTCTTCACAGGTGTTATAATATATTTATTTCTAATCTGTAACTTCCTTGAGGGGATGTGTCTGTACTTTATTCATTTGTATATTTTGTATCCCCAGCTCTTAGGAAGAGTCCTGGCAAATAAAAAGTAATCAATAAACACTTGATGAAATGACCACAACTGACACATTAGGAAAGCAAGTAGCTGAGGCAACAGTGGCAATTAAACATTGTTACTTGCAAGAAGATTTAAAAACAGAATTGAAGGGTTTCTTTCTCTTATGTAGTTTGTTACGATGACATAAAACTTTGATCTTCCCACCTGCCCGTTCCTTCCCCAGGTACCCTTGGTGGTTTCAACTCTTAGCAATGGCATAGCAACTCAGGAGAATGAAACTCAGTTTTAGAAATCTATGTAGGAATGGGAAATTCTATGATCTGACACCAAAACTCCATTCTCAGAAGCTTGCTGACTTAAAACCAATGGGTATCCATGAACTTCCAGAGGGCAGGGAGAATGTGAATTGAATGAATGAACTTTGCATACAAGATATTGTAATAGGCACCTAGGATTAGAATGTTCATTAGAATGCAGAATATTACGTCCGAAATACCGAGAAAAAGGGCAGGCATGCTCTGAAATAAAACTGCTTACAACTTACAAAGAGTTCATAGAGATAGTCACTGAGGCTGCACCCTGGGGGAGAATAATAAACGCCTTGAATTATGCATCTGGATAATAAAGAAACATACCTGGTATGAGTAACGATGTCTGTCAAGGCACCGCCTTCTAGAAATTCCATGACCACCCAGAGCTCATCACTGACAAGGTAGCTGTTGTACATGTCGACCACGTTGTCATGGTGATAATCCCGCATTATCACAACCTGGCCAAAATGGAAGGATACTGCTTGACTTGGGGCAGTGAAATTTGGCAGTTGTTTTCTTGTGTCTACATTTGTGCCGGGAGTTCAGCTGATTACTGATGGGGGAGGCAGATTTATTCAGAAGTCAATTACAGGCAAAGGGACAGCATTCAGGGTAGCTGGTAGGGAGGGAGGGAATCAAGTTAGTAAATTCAGAGAAAATGGCAAGTCAACCAGACGCTGGGTTGGTGGAACATAAGGAGTGAAAACGGGCAGAACCATGGCAAGGTTCGCACTCACAAGGGGGAATTTAGTTGACTGTTCTGGGGGATGTGATCAGATATCCCATGGGTCGCCCTTAAAACACACTGTCTGTCCATAGTCTGCTGTTGGTTAACTGGGCAAAAGGGCCAATCCAACTCAAGATAAGCGAGTCTCACAAGCAGACAAAGTAAATGACTAGGTTACTAGGGCTGGGGCCGCATGAGACAACTCTACTTCTTGGTAGGTCTGGGTTGAGTCTGTGAGAGGTTTGGGCTGCAAGCAAAGGATAAGTCTTGAAGGTAAAAACATTATGAGGTTGGCATAAAAAGGCCCACTCGGGTCTGCTGGTGGGAGAGAGCTTCCAGGATTTGCTGCCCCGTGGCTGCTTCTGGAAACGCTTTCAGAATGAGTGTTAAATAATAAATAATAAATTATATGGCTGTTTATCTAAAATTATATCTGCCTTGTCTGTTCGGTGATTTGGAAATATGATCCAGAAATCAGGAACTGGGGACCAGGGAGAAACTGAAGCCCAATTACCCAGTGCATTTTGCTGGTTTTGGAGCGTGGTAAAGACATGAATACCTGTGGGAGCAGAAGATGCGTGGACCCCCTGGTGTCTTCACATGAGCCACAAGAAGAGGGTTTGAGGTCACAGCTGAGTGCACTGTTACCACTGTATGAACCTGCTGCCCGACCCTGCACTAGTTGGGTAAACTGAGTCTAGGTTTCCTGGCTACTAAATGGAGATAACATCTTTCTGTCTAAGGCTGTTGTGAGAATCAAACCAGACCAATGCTTAGCTCGGTGGCTGGCACACAAGAAGTACTCCCTAAAGAAGGAGTCATCTGTGCAGAGAAAAAGGAATGCTGTTCTTGTATTTTCGGTGTTTTCTAACGTCCTAAAATGTACCTGTGCAATTTCTGAAATAGGAAATAAATGTTACCCAGCAACAAAAGGATGATCCGAACACACCATCTACCTCATTAAAAAGCAGCTCTCGTCTCTGTTGCTTTCGGAGGTCCATTTTCTTCACCGCGACTTGTTTCCCCGTGTGTTTCTCGGTGGCGATGCATACAATACCGGTGGACCCTTCCCCGATTTTGATAAAGTTGTCCAAGTATTCCCTGGGATCTCCTGGACTGACCACCAGCTGCAGGGCAGCCCGGAACTGTTCGTGAGACACCCTGGAGGGCTGCTGGTCTGAGGAGGAGCCCCAGCTGGGTGGTGGGTAGGTGCTGGATGAGATGCTGAGAGAGCTCAGGTAAGAAGCTGTGGAGATGTACTGCGAGCTGGTCTGCAAGGAGGGGTGGTGGTACAGGGTGGCTTTATGGTACCCAGATGGGTACTGGCTGCTTGAGGAATAGCCTGCTTTGCTTTGACTTTGAGGTAGTTTGGCGGGGCCCCTGGGATAGGTGTCAGAACCTGACAGTGGAGGGCTGAGGACCATCTGTGCTCGATCGTAGTCCACCTGGGAAGACAGACATGGGTGGAGAATATTCACATGCTACATCTGAACACCACAGCCATTACACAGATGGTCCAAATGAAGAGCATCACTGCACAACCTGCTCATGGGTGGGGCTCACCTCATGGGGTCCTAGGATATCCTGCTTCCTGGCTTCACCTGCCCTCTGACCTCCCTCCTTCCCTCTTAAAATCCCCAGAAGCAGACTCTAAGACCATTAGAACACAAGGAGTGGGAGGTGATCCTGGGAGTTATGAAGTGAGATAGGAAAGAGGAAGACACCAATAGAGTAGGATGGTTAATTTTAGGTGTAACTTGGCTAGGCAATGAACCCAGTTGCCTGGTCGAACACCAGTCTAGATCTTACTGTAAAGGTAATTTTTTGATGTGATTAACATTTAAATCAGTAGACTTTGAGTAGAACAGATTACTTTCCAAAATGTGTGTGGGCTGTATCCAATCAGCAGACGGCTTTAAGAGGAAAGAAACCTGAGAAACTTGCAGGCTTGGAGAACAGCATGGAGGCTCTCCTGGAGTGGAGGGGAGGCAGTTTGGAAAGAAGGACAGGGAAGCAGTGAGGTTGTGGGGAGAGGGCAGATCGTGCAGACCATGGCAAGGATGCTGGCTGTTGCTGAGGAAGGTGGGAGCCACTAAAGTTGCTAAGCACAGAGGACTGACCTGATCTTGACTCTCTGGCTTCTGGAGGAGAGGCTTTGGTGGCAAGAGTGGAAACAGGATGCCAGTTAACTTACTGCAGTCTGTGTGGGCAGAGATTGGGGTGGATGCTGTAGATGGGGTGATCCAGGGTAGGGTCTAAAGAGAGAGCTAACAGGATTTGCTGATGACTTGGATTAGAACATAAGGGAGAAGAATCAGAGAAGAATTCCAGGATACGGACCCGAGGAACAGGCCACTTGACAATATGAGAAACACAGGGCAGGAGCGGGCTTGTGCGCTGTGCATCAGCCTCAAGGTGACTCCCAGCGATCCTGCCTCCTGCATGAATGTCCATGTGCAGTGTCCTCCTGCACGGTATCAGGTTGACATGTGTGAGCAGAAGAGTATGGCAGAAGTGACAGCGAGTGCCCTTTGAGGCCGACAAAGACATTGCGGCTTCTCTGCCTCCTCTTGGATCACTTACTCTGGCTTTCTCCAGCCGCCACATCTTGAAGACACTCAAGAATCCTGTAGAGAGGTCCTCCTTGCCAAGACGCAGCCAGAAACCGAGGCCCTCCTCCAACAGCCACATGTGCCATCTTGGAAGTGATCATCTGGCCCTGGTCAGGCCTTCTGATGATGTAACCCTGGCTGGTATCTTGACTGCAACCTCATGACAGACTCAAGGTCACACTCACCCAGCTAAGCTAGACATGGAAACCTATACAAACCATATGAGGCAATTAATGTTGTTTCAAGTCATTAAGTTTGGGAATAAGTTATTACACAGCAATAGACAATGAACACACGGAAGGGGAAACCCCGAGTTCCATCAGGGCCATGGTCAGTGTGAGAGAGTTATTAAACATTCACATGGAGAGACCACGTAGGTGACTTAGATACGCCTCAAGTCCAGGGGAGAGCTGAGCCTAGGACATGAAGCTGAGAGTCATCAGTATTTAGCTGGAATTAAAAGCCATGGTATTGAATGTGTAAGGAAAGGTCCAAGGACTCCAACATTTAGAAACCAGAAAGAGCAGGAGGATCTTGTCAAAAGGAGCAGAAAAGGAGTGGCTAGTGGCGTAGGAAAGAAATTAAGGGACTAGGATGTCCTGAAGCCAAGGAAGGAAGGTATTTCAAGAAGGAAGGAGTGAGGAACCACATCAAATGCCACAGAGAAGCGAGGTAGGATGGGGCATGCTGCTCACTGCAACTGGCAACATGGCGGTCAGCTGGCAGAAGGCAGGCATCTGAAGCTCCGGCCCCTCACATAGCACGAACAGACGCCTCTCCCACAAGTCCGGGAGCAAGACCTGCACACCAGGAATCCTTAAAATTGCTACCACGGCACCATTCTCAGCAATGCACTGCCCATTGGTTCCAGATGCACAGCCAGCAAGTCAGCCCTTCCCGGCCTGGAGAACAGCACACTCTACTCAGGTGAGTCCACCACTCAGACGGCCTCGCACCAGCCCGCAGGGGCCAGGGTACCGCCAAGCCAGGGCCCTCGCCTGCTTGCAGAGCAGAGAGAACATACTTGAGGAACATACCTAGAGGTGAATTTTGCTTCTGAAGACTTTAGTCAAATCATTCATCCTCTCTGAACTTCAGTTTCTTCATCTGTAAAATGAGGGTCCTCTATCTCCATCACAGGCTTTTACGAGACTCATCTGGGGCATCTGAGGGCAGCCCAGTGTTCAAGAAAAAACTCTGGACTCAAAACCTTTTCCTGCCATTTACAAATCGTGTGACCTTGGACAAATTATTTAAACTCCCTGTGCTTCAATTGTCTCATCTGTAAAATGGGAGGAGTACTAGTAGGAGTAGTAGTAGTAGTAGTAATAATAATAATAATAATAATAATAATAATAATAATAATATCATCTACCTCCTTCATCACTAAAGTATGTGACTTCAAAGGATTGAATACAATTCAAAGGATTTGAACAGGGATGGTTCAATACACTCTGCTGATACATTCTAGGTGGTGTTCTTATTATATGAAGTGCTCAGCACAGCAGCGGGAATGTAAAACAAAATAATAGATAGTAACTACAATGGTAATAAAACTAGTGAGCATTTTTTGAATAGGCACAGTGTACCAGTGGCTTATATACTCTGATATGTGAATCTTCAAAACAATCAAAGTGTCTTTAATGATAATATATTGAACACTGTGCTATAATTAAATGCTATATTTGAAATCAAATGGTTTTGTGTGAGGCCCTGGATTTGTGCCCCACACAAGGAAAACGTGTGTGTGTGTGTGTGTGTGTGTGTGTTCAGGGCTGGGGAGAGACAAACGTCAGTGTAAATTAAACAACTGGATTCTTCCTTAAGTTAAGCTCGAGATTAGCCAAGCCCAGGCTGGTCACAAGTCTGACTTCTGAAAGCGTGTCCTGGGGGCCGTCACGTGCCGTCACCTCCTAGTAGTCTTCCTGGGAGCACTTCCCCCTTGTACTGTAAGTAAGACTGAATTCATTCCCCACCAGCATGTATAACTGATCTCTGAAGAAACAATAAGAATAAAAAGGCTGTATCCTATAGGAAGCGCATTGGGCCACTGCTCTTCCTCATCAGCTGACATGTGGCATCAAGAAAAGGACGCTTGTCTGCACCAGTGGGACGACATTCAATCAGACAGAAGGCGGAGCTGTTCACTGGGAGCGAAACATCTTTGAAATCAGGTCTTGGAGACAAAACGGTGCTATTGTCTTTCGTGGTTGCTGGTAAGAGGTGCAGACTCTTAAAAAAGGAACAGATGGGGAGCAAACACTATCACAGGAGACAATTTTTGGAACCTGACTTGAGGTGTATCGGTCAAAGGACAATTGACTGTTTGGCTCCATTGAGAGACCACGTGGTCCTCCCTGCAGGGTCTGGTCGGTTCAGAGAGAAGACGGTGGACAACAGCTGACTTTGTGAGGGCCAACTGCATGAGTGACCCGGTTCAGGCCACCATGTTGCTGACGTGTGGCCCTCAGTTGGGTCTTGATGACACAAGGGTTCCATGATGGTGAGTATCACTGGCCTCGTGATTTTTCAGTGGGCAATTAATCCCTCTGTATTGTTGACAAAGCTGAGGCTCTAGGAAGTGAGACTTCCCCCAAGCAAATAGCCCCAACCCTCTGGGAAGATAACACAACCCGTTCAGGCTTTCACTCCCAGTGAGAGAGTGTCCACGTCCCAGCTGCTGGGCACACTGGCATCACGGGACCGCTTTCTTCCCTGCCTTGGTATCTCCACCACTAGCTGGCACCTCCCTGGTATATATAATCAAGGCTGGACACTCTCTCTTTGGTAAAATGCAGGGGTGCCTTACTGGGAGCCAAAGTCGGGCCCTTTCCATTAACCAAGTGCTGTCAGACGCCTATCCTGCAGGCGTAACTCACACTGATATTAAGAAGGACACTTGCTGAGTGTTTTCCACGTGTCAGGGACTGTCCTAAGCACTTCATGTATGTGGCCACCTTTAAATCCCAAGTTACACAATGAGATAAGGCCCCACCATTGTTCCATTTCACAGATAAGGAAACTAAGGTGCCCCGTGGGTTTAGGTAGGTCATGCAAAGGTCTCAAAGCGTCTAAGAAGTGGAGCTGGGATTCAAATCCAAACAATGTCACTTAGAACTTGGATCCTGGATACCTTCTGAGAGATCTCCTTCAATGGTAAGAAGGTGCTCAGGGTCAGGATGGTGCTCGGTGGAGTGACAGTGACCGAACTAAAGCCTGGTTCGGGAGTTTCATTGGGGGCCCAGGTGTCTGAGCAGCCTGGGGTCAAGTGCAAGAACTGGGCCAGAAAATGATGGATGACAATGCCTGGGGGAGGGAGGCGGAAGCAAAACTCTGTGTGTATGCGTTTTACCAGTCCTGGCTTAGAGAAATCAGCTCAAAACATACCAAAAGGGAATAATCACCACAGCAAGATGAGTTGATCATATGTACATACTTCATTGCTTTCATTTTCGCTTTGGCCAGAGCAGAATTTTGCACTTAGCCCTAACAATGCCCAAGCTTTCTTCTACGTATTTGTCCAAGACAGAAAGCCCAAGCTTTCTTCTGTAACAAGGCCCCCTGGCCCTCTCACATGGCTCTTAAACTACTGTAATTGTTTAACTATTTTCCTTTCATTGTTTTACTCGAAATCATCTTTCCCATGATATCCTATGTTTGTAAATGGGTGAAACAAAAATGATGAATTTGTGCATATTTACTGTTTCGTACATTCGCGCATGTTCGTGCCTGGGAGAAAGACTTGCAAAGGAGTAAAACATGAACTGGGCAACCTTTTCTACAACTTGATTTACAAATATATTCTAGGAATAAAAAAGGAATACATTTGGAGT